GTATTCGAATTCATTCAAATGCACTGCATATCATTATCACTCACTCTCACATACACACCCAGTCCAAGGAAAGAAGAAAAAAATAATAAGTAAAAAATCATCCCGTTTTGACCTCATCAGCAAGAGAAGAATTCCATTTTGTGATAAGAATACTTAAATTAATTTGATTTGCAAAGATATAAAAGATCATACACTAGGTCCTCTGTGGTCAGAGAAGTCCATACAAGCACTCATGCATTTCAAATTAATTAATCGAGGTATAATCATCACATTTTCTGATGATAAATTCTCATTCATCATCAGAATGATGAATGATCATCCACATTTTTAAGGCTAAATCTGGTGTATATTTTTTATTTGACTTTGTATAAATATATATACCATATATAAAGTCAAAATTATACATATATATATATATATATATATATATACACACACACATATATATATATATATATATATGTGTGTGTGTATATATATATATATATATATATATATATATATGTATATATTCTTTAGAATTTATAAATCAGCTTAAACATTATTTAATTGCATATCCACAAATTCCCAGCTTCACCTTTTTTCCGACTTTTCTCCTCCTTTTCTCCAGTTCCTGCAACACTGTTTCTGCCGTCCATAATGGCGAGAGATTCTTGTAAGATAAACACATTAAAAAAAGAGGAAGATCAGCAGATGAGAGATTTGCAAAGCGAAACAACCAACCCCCCATTTCTCTCTTTTCCTCTTTCTCTCTTTCTTTCCCTTTCTCTCTCATTATGCTCCCCTGCTCATTTGAATAAATTAACACCCCCCGACGTCTCGCTTCACCACCTTCCTCTTCCCCCCGATCTATCCCCCCTCAACAGGCTGCAGGGAGAGAGAGAAATCCAGAAATATCCTCCTGTTTCCACACACATTCATTCACTTACTCCCTCATGCACATAGAAACAATCACACCCACCCTCCACTACACCAAATTCATCCCGAAAGCTCGGGTTCAACAGTCTCATCTCTGCTAATGCAAAACAAACCCCTCCTTAGCATGCAAAAAAAAAAGAAAGAAAAACAAATTACGAAATAAAAACATTTGGTCTTGTAAAAAACAGACTGGCGCGCAGGCGCAGATGCACGGGTCCCTCCCTCAGCTGACTGACTTGGTGCAGCTCACTGACTCATTTGACTAATGCTGGCGAGCGTAACATGGCGTACAGTTCTGTATCAGGCTGGCTAATTAGCGCCAGTGCAGCTCCAGCGAAACTGGGCAAGCCGTGCACCACTGCGCCGCCATGCTAAACCAAAGCAGCTCACCATCTGGGCCTCCTCGGCCGCCATTTTGGATCTGCATGGCGCTAGTTTGCATAGAGCACTCTAATAGGCGGCCTACTGCAGGGGGAACTGAAACGGGGCACGTTAGCCACCATTACAGAAGACTAGCATTTAGTGCCCTCCCGTTACCTGCGTGTGGCTGAGGTGGGAAGGCGCCAACCCTTGCCCCCTCCTTTCCACTCCGCTACCACCCTTTACCCTCAGTGACCTTGCAGGCATTTGGTTAGGGAGGGGGCTCTCTGCATTAATACCAGATACATTAGCGTTAATATGATTCTACCATGTAGCCGTGGCCTGAGGGGGGACTCTGATTGTCTGCGTATTAGCATTACCGTTCTCATTAGCCCACCCGCTTCTGTCGTCTCTGCTCTCTTTCCTTCCTTTTCCTCATTGGCGTACTCTCTCTCTCGTTCTCTGCTTTTCTCCAGGCAACAGATGAGAGAGAGTGATGCAGATGATTTGTATTAGCAATGATTTCAGCAGTAGCTGCCTGCCTGCAAGTCAGTGGTCACTTCCTCTCTGATGCACATTGTGTAGATATATACACAGTATCTAGGTTTCTTTCAGCCAGTGTGGCTTGTACTTTCTTTCTGAGTGTGTGTGTGTGTGTTTCTCCATACGTGTGTGGGAGGGTAAGGGTAGCATTCCATCTTCTATATTTCCACTTGTTACATAACTGAGTTGAGAGGAGTGGTAGAGAGGCCTCGGTAGGAAACAAAGAGTCCGGCCGATCTGCTCAACTGCTCTCTTCTCTGCTTATTCTTTTCCATACAAACCACTGCAGGAAGTGGTGTATCTTGACCGGCAAACTTCAGTATACATTTCTGAATTTCAGAGGTATCCAGGAGCTTACTAGCAGGATCATTCCAATGTGTGTGGCCAAGGTAAACCTCTGTGTAATGGCCAAGTGCAAAATTGTACTTGAGAACAGCTCTTTCTAGTAACAGAACTCAGGATCATGTTGACTCTGTCCTGACTTGGACCCAACTCTCTACTCAGTCTTGACTTGGACTCGAATGAGCTGGTCTGGACTACAACACTGGACAAGTGACCCCTAAAGGAAAGGCAGGGGCCCTGGAGAGCCACTGTCCTGTAGAGTTAGCTCCAACTTGCCTCAAAACAGCTGCCTGGAAGTTTCCAATATACCTAGTAAGACCTTGATTAGCTGGTTCAAGAGTGTTTAAGTGGTGTTGGAGATAAACTCTGCCAGACAGTGGCACCTCTGGACACCTCTGCCCTAAGGTGTTTTGTCAGGAGTTGTACCCTATAACTTAAAAGTGTCATATGCATTTCAAATCTTTGTGCCACTGTGCTTGACCCTTTTGGTCATTCATTTCATGACCATTTCAACTGGATTTGTTGCTCTCAAGTTTAACCCAACCCAAAGCTAGGGTAGTTATCAGGTGAGGACAACAAGGAATGTTGTGGCCACATCACTCTCAGAAAAAAAACAGTGCACAAATTGTACCTTTAGCTTGTCGGGGCATTACCCTCAAAGGTACACATTAGCACCCTATCTAACCTAAAAAGGCAAATGTTATTACTTCAAGGTATACTCAAGGTACTAATGTGAACTCTTTGACGGTACTGCCCCAGTGTCAGGTAGTTCTACTCCAAAAAAGTACAATTTCAGCATTTTTTCCCTGACAGTTATAATGTTAGGGGCCTGCAAAGTTACTCTATTGTATAGCATAGTCATTGGGTGATAGAAGTGACTCGCCCATAAAAATTTTGTCCCAGGGCTCAATGTAGTATTTGCAATGACATTGTCGCAAACCAGATGGCAGTTGAGTCACTGAACCCACTGATTTTTGTTAAAAGTGATTTCATTGTTTAGACTTCAACTTTATTCTACTCAAAACCCAGGTTTTACTGATTCCCCAAAATGTACATGTGAGGTGTTTGGCTTTGTCGGGAAATTTACTTTACTTTTTTTGTTGGGAAATTTTTACTTTTAACTCTGTTTAACTAACTCTTTTCATGCAGTGAATTTTGTACTCTCCGAAATGCAAACTTTTCCAAATGGGGCCATATAAAAAATAAAAACTCATATTTTAGCTGAAAACATAATGAAATTAACCAAAATATGCAACTTTGTAACCGATTGTTCCGATTTTGTAGAAATAAATTTATGTGGGCACAATCTAAGTTACCTAGAGTTTTAACAGAGTAATCATAATTTACATTTGATGTACCCATGCCTTGTCCACTTAATTCCAGGATGAAAGGTTCTGCTATGACAACATATCTTCACTAATGATTATTCCATTTAAATGATCTGAAATAACTGGATGAAATGACATTAGATTAACTGTTCTGTTGCCGACTGGCCAGGCATAGCCTGTGTCTGGGGCTGGGTAAGGATACATCGCTGTCATTATGTGTAGAATCACATCTCAGTGTGATGGATTTCTGTATGGGTTGATTCTCTGACAGGGCTGCACATAGCCTGTAATCAATAGCAGTATAGTACGTTACAGTTCAATAATTGCCGGATGTGGGTGTGTGAAGCCAGAGAGCGCTGGAGCGGAACCATCAAGCCAAACACTGTAACCATTGGTAGCTCTACATTCTATCACACTCTATCACTCTACACATTGTCATTTCTTAAGTTGCCCTGGGGATAGTGTGCCATACTGTAATTTAACACCCAGACATGTACTCTGGCATTGTTACGTATCATTGTCAAAATAATCCATAGAAATCCATCAGACTGCTTTATTCCTTTTAAGATGAAGGGTTTGCCAATTTCCACATACAAAAACGGTCAAATGCAATACAGACTTGTTTTATCTGAATTATAAGGGTTTAACAATGCTGTCCAATTACAATTTCCGCTGTTTAATAAAATCTATTCATATAAATATTTATTGTTGCAGACTTGGGTGGTGTAGAAAGTCACCAGACCGAGAAACCCAGGGTGGTCTGTGAGCGTTTTCCGCCACTCGAGACAATACACGATACGCCCCTCACATGTCATTCCTCTCATTTTGAGCACGGAACAATGCCGGCGATTCAGACATTCCTCAGTGCGCCTCTGAAGCACGCGTTCTCCTTCATTCGCATACATTAACGCATAGAGAGACCGTGACAGGGTCTCGTGCAGAGTCTCTAAGGACGCACGCGTGTCACTCAATGAGCAGTGACATAAAAAGAACGTACGAGGAGGCTTTTACGCACAACATTTGCACGAACTTTAAAGCAGCTTAAAGATGATCCGCTGGTCTTAAATGGTTTAAGGTGGTCTCCCAGTCTGGACTTTTCCGTCCTGATCTGTTGAAAAGTGCCTAAAACCAGCCAACAGATCACGCTGGGAGAACGGACAAGGTTTAAACAGTTTTTCTCAGCAGGGTTGAGTCAATAAAATATTTCTGGCGGTAAAAGATAAGCCGTTGTCATCGCGAAAAAAGTGATCCGCCGTGCGTAAAAAGCAGCCATTTAGTTCCTAGGTGCGCTATGGTAACATTGAGTGCCACAGAATGTCCCGGCTGTCTCCAGCCACGTGGACCGCTCACAACAACAACAACATGTTAAGTCCTGTCCTCCCTGATGCACTCAACCCACCCCCACTAACAAAACTCCGCGCGCCGTCCTCGCCGCGTCTCTCTCTGGCCCCGCACCAGCACCTCTCCATCTCGCCGTACCATTAGACTACCGAAGGAGGGGCCGCTCGGATGACGGTCCCGCGGAGGGGAGGGTACGAGAGGCGGGACCAAAGTCTTCCCCGCTTCTCGGCGCTGGCGAGTCCGGGACTAGGGCTGGAGAGATCGCCGGGGAGCATCGTCACCACTCCTGCACGGAGCCTCGCCTGGCCGAATACTGCACAGTGCACACGTCGGGATTGCAAAACATTCCTGAGAAATATACCTGCTATTTATGGCATGTGGCTGGTAACTTTACTCCTGCTGTATTCTTTTCAAGAAGGTATGTGGTCAGTTTATTTTTTTGCTGCTTTTTTACTTATAAGAATGTTGAAATAAAACGTCACAATTTATTAAATTAAATTAAGTGGAAATGTGTGTGCACAAAAATCGCGCTGTAAAGTTTATTGAATAGATATTCCGCGTTATTTTATTGCACGCTCACATATCTGGATTTCAGGAAGTTTCTTTCGCTCCGAAACTAATACAACTTCGTTCAAAAATGTTTTTAGTTGCTTAAAATGTGGAAAATTATTTCTCTAGTCGGTGATTAACCACGAACAGGAGATTACGAGGCTGTGGGATCTGCATGTTCCCGTGCGCAAAGATGGGGGAGATAGCATGATTTGTATGCAAGATTTGAATATGCTGTTGAGTTATGAATATGTAGAACGGGATCAGATTTTGCATCGGTCGTGTGCATTTACCATACACTTTTGGCCTTCTGTACTTTGCTGGGTGGGAAAAGTAGAGTTGGTCAGTGAGGTGTGAATTTGTTTGCGCTTGGTGTACTTTTTTACTGGGCTCGAAAAAGAATGTAAATTTCCTAGGATTTGAATATGTCTGTTCGTTGTTTAAAGTAACATGCTGCTGTATGCCTTTAGGGAAAAGAATAATAGGTATTTTGTAATAAAAGTGCATGTTTTTGTGGTAGAGGATGAATATATCTGCATATATCCTGAGAAAAATAGAATGGCATATGCAGCCTCATTTCCAATTAGCACTGGTGCAATTAGTGGTCCTCCATTTTCTATGCCAACAGATTCCTGGTTTGTCTGTGCTGATGGTGGGTTTGATAAGGCACATTTGAATTTGTATAAATTCAAAACGAAGATGTGGTTTATTGTAATCATAATTAAGGTTATTTATTTGCTCATTCTGTTAGTTTTACGCATCAATTTCTGTCATGATGTCTCCTCAACAATTTTGTTTTTGACACCTCACAACATATATACCCCTCCTTCCCTCACCCTCCAGCCTTGGAGATATGCTTTCAGTTTTTGCTCATATTTTTTTTTCCTAAAATTATCTTGCAACATATTTCTGGATCAAACCACTTTTCAAACGTGTGCGCCTATTTTGGAGTTTTCTTTATCTGATATTTCTTTGTCAAGTATGGATTTTTATTTACCCACAGACAGCTCAAATGTAAATGCTTTGCCTGGTTTTACAGTGCTTGAGTTTAGATGCTTTAGAATTGAGAAGGCATTTTTATTTTTTATATATATATTTTAATTTACAATGTCATTTGTTCGGGGATGTAAGGTCAGAATTATTCTCTCTCTCCCAGTGTGTGTGTGTGTGTGTGTGTGTGAGAGAGAGAGAGAGAGAGAGGGTTTGTGAAAGAGAACTGTGGTGTGTATTAATGTGTGTTTGTGTATGTTTGTGTGTGTTCTTGTATGGGGGAGGAAGGGTGCAGTAGGGCGTAAAGTGCGTAAAAAATGGGATACGGAGGTCACAAACAAATTATTATTATTTTTTTTGCCATATTTTCTTTTTTATTTTCTAGTGCTCATAGTTTATATTGTGTTTTCTGTAATGTTCACAATATATTTCTTATCTTGTATCTTGAGACCTGATGACACGGTCGATAGGAGATGTAAAACGCACATCAATTATCATACATGCATATGCATTAGGACTGCGTATTTTTCCGAGAGGGCCGCGCCTCCATCTTTTCCACTTTCAAGGAATGTAGAAACATTTCCCCTTAAAAAACCTTTTCCCCACATTTACCGAAATAATTGTATGTTTTTACAATAACACATTTTAGTCGTTTTTGGTTAGGAATTATCAGTCATTTTAAATGTATTATTATGCATTATTGTGACCCGGGCAAGTTGTAGCATATTACCCCCCTGCCTTCACACCTGAACCCCGGTCTGGGAAACCAGATCCAGGGTAAATTGCCGTCTCGAGGGTCAGCTTGTCTTTTTATGGAAATGCAACTAACTGAAATGAAAAAGGCACCGAGGGATGCTGCAGTAATGTTTGTGGAAATTTCCATTGTTATTTGCATGGGAGTTATAATTTGTTTAAAAATAATATATATACTATAATGTAATATATACTATTATTATTAACAATAAAAACAATAATAGCAAATAGCTATTTTTATTAAACTGATTAATAATGTCATAGTTTATTGGAGTTGTTTTTATCGTGTTGGCTTTATATGGAATATGGAATATATATATTTTTTTTTAGAGTTCATTCATGTTACTAACCAGATGTTAATAACCACTCCGTGTGATAGATCTCAAATCTGTTAAGAATATCAAACAACATGTTTTAACAAATATCTGTTTATCTTTATTAATTTTATTTATGACATATTTGCTTAATAGGGTATTTAATAATGAATAAAGGGGCAGTGTGTGTTCGCGTGTGTGTATATGTGTCTGTCCAATATTTATTTTAAGGATCAGCAGTCCTCAGGTCGTCAAATTTGTGTGGTGGCTGCAATATTATCCCGTCTGATCCGATTTTCTGAACATTTGCCTAAATTAAAATGTGATTGGAAGGAGCTTGCCACGTCAGACCTTTTTAGAGTGAAACATATTAATAATAATAATAACATACATATTTATGTCTAACATCAACAATAACAGAAATATGTGAACATTAAAAAAAATAATAATAATTTGCCCACTTTTATGCGTTTTCACCTCCAAACTGCTCGCAATGTCAAACCTGCTCCTCACATCAGGACACCTCTATCCCACCCGGTCTCCCCCTCATAGAAATATGCAAAATTGGTTTCCTTTCTCCTCCCCGTCAAATCCCCTGTTCTTCCCAGCTGCGCAATTAGTAGGAGATCTGCCGCATCCCCCACTCCAAAAGTAAATCAGGTCATTGGCCATAAGGACTCCATTTATCTCTCTCTCTCTTTCTCTCTCTCTCTCTCTCTCTCTCTCTCTCTCTGTGGATCTATCTATCTCTCTGTTTCGTTATAATCGTCATATACACGTTTTCCTCTTCTGGTTTATGTAATTTGCCGGGAGACACATTGCGTTCATTATAATACGATATATCCTGTATAAAAATAAAGAGTAAAGCCTTGTGTGACAGCAGCATGAGTCACAGTTATAAACACACGTTACTCTCATAAACTGTAGTAATCTGTACTTGAACTTTTCGTCTGCTTGAGAATGAGATGGTTTAGACTGAACAGGTTTGTCCCATCAGTGTTTTTTCTTTCTTTATTCTCCCACGAATTATGACTGTCCTGAATTGATTTTTAAAACCCAAACTGTTCCTATCTAAATATTTTCCCTCATTTAATAGTCCAATATACACTTTTTTTTAAACATACAAAGAAAAAAAAAGTTTTAGAAAAGTTTCACAAAGTATGTATTTCATTCCTGTGCCCGTGGGAAACATCACAAAATTGCTTTGTTGGTCAAGAAATTTTAAAACAATTTTAAGTCACGAATCACGATTGTATATTATAGGGAAATGTGGGGGGAAATACATGATAATCAACGAATATCAGTCCATGTTTATTTTTAATTTGTGTGTTTTTAATAATAGACTCTATGTATTAAATATAAGCTTTTAGCTGTATGTTTATTATGGCATGTTTTACATGTTTCCTTTTATGGAATTAAACAGCTCTGTGACTGTTTACACCAGACATGCAAACTATCCATATAAACTCTAGACAGTCTGAACGTTGTGTAAAATAGCCTACATCACTTTCAGACCCTTCAAACGCCGAAGAAAATTGACTATATACTGATTTGCTTAAAACGTCTCTAATAGGAAAGACATAAATAGTTAACTAGTGATTAGCATTCTCATTAACTGTATGGAAAAGACTAGCCTATAGCGTCAACATTCAGGTAAACGTCTTTTATGCGTTCAGCGGCCCGAATGTGGTGGTGTATTGCAGCACTCAGGTGTAGGCCTAGTGTGTGTGTGTGTGTGTAAAACTTTAATATTTTATTATATGTTGATATAGTATGCTAATTTACAAATTAAAATCACACCCCGCCGCTCCACCTGCCATTTCAGATGAAGTACGGTCAAAATAAAAATCTACGTGTCACTCAGGCGTTCCGCTTCGACAGGTGACCGCTGTTCTCCTTTCAGAGCTCGTGTGCCGGTGAGTTAAGCGCGTGAGCAAACACTCCTCGCCTCCGGAGCACCTGCTGCACGCTGCGCGTCGGGGCCACTTGTCCAACCAATCGGACACCATGCGCAAGGCAACAGATCTGGAGAGTCAGAATCATGTAACATCCTGTGTCAGGGCGCAAATTATGATTTGACTTACCTATTTAAAATATGGATCCTCCAATCAATATGAAATCAATCAGGGATGGAG